CTCAGCAGGAATGGCTGAGCCAGCCCTCTGCCACTCCAACTCCAATTAAAGGAGGTAAATTGGGGTTGGCTGGGGGAAACCAGTGGCCAATTGGCAAAGGAGAAACAGCTGCCAGCCTGATTAGCCTGGGTCTAGATACAGGCCCAGAGGCAGACAGCGGGGGGAAGGGGGAGAGAGAGTGAGAGAAGTGTGAGCCAGGGAAGGAGTGTGGTAGCTCTGCCCTTCTGGGTCCAGAGACTAAGCCCTGGTCTACACTAGGACTTTAGGTCGAATTTAGCAGCGTTAAATCGATTTAAACCTGCACCCGTCCACACAATGAAGCCCTTTATTTCGACTTAAAGGGCTCTTAAAATCGATTTCCTTACTCCACCCCTGACAAGTGGATTAGCGCTTAAATCGACGTTGCCGGCTCGAATTTGGGGTACTGTGGACACAATTCGATGGTATTGGCCTCCGGGAGCTATCCCAGAGTGCTCCATTGTGACCGCTCTGGACAGCACTCTCAACTCAGATGCACTGGCCAGGTAGACAGGAAAAGAACCGCGAACTTTTGAATCTCATTTCCTGTTTGGCCAGCGTGGCAAGCTGCAGGTGACCATGCAGAGCTCATCAGCACAGGTGACCATGATGGAGTCCCAGAATCGCAAAAGAGCTCCAGCATGGACCGAACGGGAGGTACGGGATCTGATCGCTGTTTGGGGAGAGGAATCCGTGCTATCAGAACTCCGTTCCAGTTTTCAAAATGCCAAAACCTTTGTGAAAATCTCCCAGGGCATGAAGGACAGAGGCCATAACAGGGACCCGAAGCAGTGCCGCGTGAAACTGAAGGAGCTGAGGCAAGCCTACCAGAAAACCAGAGAGGCGAACAGCCGCTCTGGGTTAGAACCCCAAACATGCAGCTTCTATGATGAGCTGCATGCCATTTTAGGGGGTTCAGCCACCACTACCCCAGCCGTGTTGTTTGACTCCTTCAATGGAGATGGAGGCAATACGGAAGTAGGTTTTGGGGATGAAGAAGATGATGATGAGGAGGTTGTAGATAGCTCACAGCAAGCAAGCGGAGAAACCGGTTTTCCCAACAGCCAGGAACTGTTTCTCACCCTAGACCTGGAGCCAGTACCCCCCGAACCCACCCAACGCTGCCTCCTGGACTCAGCAGGCGGAGAAGGGACCTCTGGTGAGTGTACCTTTTAAAATGCTATACATGGTTTAAAAGCAAGCATGTGAAAGGATTACTTTGCCCTGGCATTTGCGGTTCTCCTAGATGTAGTCCTAAAGCCTTTGCAAAAGGTTTCTGGGGAGGGCAGCCTTATTTCGTCCTTCATGGTAGGACACTTTACCACTCCAGGCCAGTAACATGTACTCGGGAATCACTGTAGAACAAAGCATTGCAGTGTATGTTTGCTGGCATTCAACCAAAATCCGTTCACGCGGTGGGAGGAGGCAAAATGCGACCTTGTAACGAAAGCACATGTGCTATGTATGTAATGTTAACAGCAAGGTTTACCCTGAAAGAGTGTAGCGACTGTTTTATAAAATGTGTCTTTTTAAATACCGCTGTCCCTTTTTTTTTCTCCACCAGCTGCATGTGTTTCAATGATCACAGGATCTTCTCCTTCCCAGAGACTAGTGAAGCTTAGAAAGAAAAAAAAACGCACTTGTGATGAAATGTTCTCCGAGCTCATGCTGTCCTCCCACACTGACAGAGCACAGACGAATGTGTGGAGGCAAATAATGTCAGAGTGCAGGAAAGCACAAAATGACCGGGAGGAAAGGTGGCGGGCTGAAGAGAGTAAGTGGCGGGCTGAAGAGAGTAAGTGGCGGGCTGAAGACAGGGCTGAAGCTCAAATGTGGCGGCAGCGTGATGAGAGGAGGCAGGTTTCAATGCTGAGGCTGCTGCAGGACCAAACCAGTATGCTCCAGTGTATGGTTGAGCTGCAGCAAAGGCAGCTGGAGCACAGACTGCCACTGCTGCCCCTCTGTAACCAACCGCCCTCCTCCCCAAGTTCCATAGCCTCCACACCCAGACGCCCAAGAACGCGGTGGGGGGGCCTCCGGCCAACCAGCCACTCCACCACAGAGGATTGCCCAAAAAAAAGAAGGCTGTCATTCAATAAATTTTAAAGTTGTAAACTTTTAAAGTGCTGTGCTTAAAGTGCTGTGTGGCATTTTCCTTCCCTCCTCCACCACCCCTCCTGGGATACCTTGGTAGTCATCTCCCTATTTGTGTGATGAATGAATAACGAATGCATGACTGTGAAGCAGCAATGACTTTATTGCCTCTGCAAGCAATGATTAAAGGGAGGAGGGGAGGGTGGTTAGCTTACAGGGAAGTAGAGTGAACCAAGGGGCGGGGGGTTTCATCAAGGAGAAACAAACAGAACTTTCACACCGTAGCCTGGCCAGTCATGAAACTGGTTTTCAAAGCTTCTCTGATGCGTACCGCGCCCTCCTGTGCTCTTCTAACCGCCCTGGTGTCTGGCTGCGCGTAACCAGCAGCTGGGCGATTTGCCTCAACCTCCCACCCCGCCATAAACGTCTCCCCCTTACTCTCACAGATATTGTGGAGCACACAGCAAGCAGTAATAACAGTGGGAATATTGGTTTCGCTGAGGTCTAAGCGAGTCAGTAAACTGCGCCAGCATGCCTTTAAACGTCCAAATGCACATTCTACCACCATTCTGCACTTGCTCAGCCTGTAGTTGAACAGCTCCTGACTACTGTCCAGGCTGCCTGTGTACGGCTTCATGAGCCATGGCATTAAGGGGTAGGCTGGGTCCCCAAGGATACATATAGGCATTTCAACATCCCCAACAGTTATTTTCTGGTCTGGGAATAAAGTCCCTTCCTGCAGCTTTTGAAACAGACCAGAGTTCCTGAAGATGCGAGCATCATGCACCTTTCCCAGCCATCCCACGTTGATGTTGGTGAAACGTCCCTTGTGATCCACCAGAGCTTGCAGCACTATCGAAAAGTACCCCTTGCGGTTTATGTACTCGGCGGCTTGGTGCTCCGGTGCCAAGATAGGGATATGGGTTCCGTCTATAGCCCCACCACAGTTAGGGAATCCCATTGCAGCAAAGCCATCCACTATGACCTGCACATTTCCCAGGGTCACTACCCTTGATATCAGCAGATCTTTGATTGCGTGGGCTACTTGCATCATAGCAGCCCCCACAGTAGATTTGCCCACTCCAAATTGATTCCCAACTGACCGGTAGCTGTCTGGCGTTGCAAGCTTCCACAGGGCTATCGCCACTCGCTTCTCAACTGTGAGGGCTGCTCTCATCTTGGTATTCATGCGCTTCAGGGCAGGGGAAAGCAAGTCACAAAGTTCCATGAAAGTGCCCCTACGCATGCGAAAGTTTCGCAGCCACTGGGAATCGTCCCAGACCTGCAACACTATGCGGTCCCACCAGTCTGTGCTTGTTTCCCGAGCCAAGAATCGGCGTTCCACAGCATGAACCTGCCCCATTAGCACCATGATGCATGCATTGTCAGGGCCCATGCTTTCAGAGAAATCTGTGTCCATGTCCTGATCACTCACGGGACCGCGCTGACGTTGCCTCCTCGCCCGGTATCGCGTTGCCATGTTCTGGTGCTGCATATACTGCTGGATAATGCGTGTGGTGGTTAATGTGCTCCTAATTGCCAAAGTGAGCTGAGCGGGCTCCATGCTTGCTGTGGTATGGCGTCTGCACAGGTAACTCAGGAAAAAAGGCGCGAAATGATTGTCTGCCCTTGCTTTCACGGGGGGGGAGGGAGGGAACGGGGGGCTGACGATATGTACCCAGAACCACCCGCGACAATGTTTTAGCCCCATCAGGCATTGGGATCTCAACCCAGAATTCCAATGGGCAGCGGAGACTGCGGGAACTGTGGGATAGCTACCCACAGTGCAACGCTCCGGAAGTCGACGCTTGCCTTGGTACTGTGGAAGCGCTCCGCCGAGTTAATGCACTTAATGCACTTAGAGCATTTTCTGTGGGGACACACACACTCGAATATATAAAACCGATTTCTAAAAAACCGACTTCTATAAATTCGACCTAAGTTCGTAGTGTAGACATACCCTAAGGAGTCCTCAAGGCTAGAGCCCGCAAGCTGTACCTGGTGAGAAGGTGATGGTGTGGCACTATGCAAATAAACTGCACTGGTGACTGCTGAGCCAGAAGGTCTTGGAGTGGTTTTGGAGTGGTGCAGAGGCAGGACCAAGGGGGGCCCTGCTATGCCCTGTTATACTCCCCATCACCATTCCCCACTCTCCAGGTCCTTATTCCTCACCCCCAAGTATTTATGGTTTGCCCCTCCTGACTCCCCACCCCTACTTTCTCCTCCCCCCATCTCCACTCTGGGCCCCTGCTTCCCTCACCACCACCACTCCCCATCCCTTACATTCTCTTGCAGATCCTGCTTCTCCCACAGCACCATTGACCCCTAGTCGTCTTTGGGTTCCTGCATCCTTCCCCCTCCATCTCCCTTTCCCCTGCTTCTGGGTCCCTGCTTCACCCATCATGACTGCCCCATCCCTCTGGTCCCTGCTGCATCCCCTTACCCTGGCCCCCTCCCTCTCTGGGTCCCGACTCTTCCCCCCCCTCCCCGCCCCACTTCCCTCCCTATATACAATCCTTGGAAAGCTCTCATTTCTATTAGAGTCCAGGCTACAGTCTCCCCACTCAATAAGTTAAGCTGCTGCCTCTGTTATGTACAGGGGGCAGCAGAGATTCCTCTGCATGTGGCAACAAACAGTCTGGGGCCCTGATTTTCCTCTGAATTGGGCTCTTCTGGTGTTCTGATTTCCACCAGAACTAATAGAAGTGGGCCCACGGATCCCTAGAACATTCCATTATTTTTAAAATTGATCTGATGTGGCGTGCCAAAGATATCACATTACGGACAAACACAGAGAAATGCCACTGAGTTGAGCGTTAGATCTTGCTCCACTCGGCCAATAAATGATTTGGAATATCTTCAGTTTAACCAAATTGCCACTCTGCATATACAGCATGAATCCATTTTAATTTCTTTTTTAAAATGAAAAACTTTACAAGCCTAAGCCAACAAAAGCAAATTCAGTGATATGGGTCCTTAGCTAGGCTAACCAGTTCACTCAGCCACTGAATATAGCTGGTGTAGCAGCAGCACCACCCAGAGGAGATGGTTCACAATTAGGAGGCATGGTCTCAAAAATTATCGAAGTGCTGGAGTAAATCTAACCTCCTGGGAGTCCCCATGAATATCTGCTGTCCCTCTTCAGGGCCCATAGGAGAACCAATCTCCCATTACTGCAGGTCTGCTGATTGCTCCCATTCAGGAGAGCAATTATTAAGGCACAAATCAAATGCAAGAGGTAGGGGAGATCTTCCCATTTACTGCCTTCCTACTGCAGCCCCCTTCTTTCCTTGCTGTTTACCCCCATATGCTTCCTGTGGGACTGTTCAATCCTGCAAAACTTTCCAGGGGCTGAGGACTGGCTGGGTATGAAGTGTTGTAGATTTCCCTTTGCCACAGGGAGTTTGTGCCTTTTCATGGTGTTCCCCACCTAAGAACATGTCCAGACTTCAAACATGTGGCTCCTGTTTGCAGCTGTTCAAACTACTATCAGGAAAGGGACTTGGAAAAACCATCTCTCCCCATTGTATCTCATCCTCAGATTATTTTAAAATTTCATTTAATAATATCTATCTCCCCTCTCATGCCCATAAAGAGATGTAGCAGGAGATGGCTGTGAAAGCACTCATGAGCAAATACTCACAAGTACGAACACTCATTCCACAGACATTTTTGTGAGGAAAAAAGGACTGTTTGCTAAATGAACACCAATAGCAAAATCAGAAGGGATACAAAACACTGCTGAAGCAAATTCACTTTAAAATATTAATCAATATTCACTGAAATTTTCTTTAGATATTTGTCCAGTTCCAACCATAATGGGGCACATTCATCTCTAGACAAAGACCCATCTTAGAGCCTTCATACCATTTAAGCCCTATTTGAGTACTTAAGTGGGCTTTCAGAGGTGCAAAAGCCTCATGGTTTGCTGTCTGCACAGCGATGAATATTACCCAATAATTTTTTAAAATCTGAATTTCACCCAAGTTTTTTTAAAATTTAAATTCTGTATTGCATATTCCACAATGTAAATAGGGTACAAACTTCCCAGAATCAAAAAAAAAAAAAAAAAAAATCATCACACCAAACTTTGTGTGTTCCAAAATTCACATCTTGTTCTAGTCTTCTGTCTCTCCCGCACTTGTATGTTTGGTATAGTTATCCATTTCAGGCACATCTTTTCCACTGCTCTTTTCTTTTCTAAAAGTCTTCATACACTTATCCAGTCTTTTTAGGAATAGGTCTACATCTTGCTTTTTCATTCCAATTGCTGAAGCAGCATTGAGGTAAGCACAGGGATAGTTATTTGCATGTGACATAAAGCCTTTGAAAGTGTAGTTATTCACTGTTTGCAAAGACCCAAGGGGAACCACCCTGAAAAAAACAATCACAATTCAATTAAAAATGCTCAGGGCTGTTTACAGGAAGCACAGTATTCTGAAATCATTTACAAGCATTTCTATGCATAACAACACGTGTAAATTATAAACAAGTTTGTATAAAAGTACCTGAAGTGAACCAATTATTAAAGAACATTAAAATCAAGAACTATGAAAAAAAACAGCGTAGGTACAAATAGGACTGGAAATTTTGAACTTGATGAAACCCTGAACTTTTCGAAGATGGTATCTGTTGCGACCAATCTACACAAAGAGGACTATAATAGCAGGACAAGTAACAGTTATCATCAGGCAAACCAAAAAACCCCCCACCCATCTTACTGCAGTACATACAGATTTACTGTAGTTCATCTGTGTAAGAAGTGGAATAATCCAAGCTAATGAAGCATGTCTTCTGATGTGAAAATACTCAGCTCTGCCAGAGAAAGTGACATTAACTATGTAGCAGCAGCTGGTTGACAGCAGCAATATTCAGATTAAAGAATTCTGCCAAAACAAGTTTTAGATCATCCTCTTCTTCTAAAAGGTTTAAATTGAAATCATTAAAAATTATTTGGTCTGCATTTCCCTTGCCATGTACTGTCTAGCAGTAAAATTTTTCCACCTACAGTGGCTGAAGTTAATTCTGGAAAGTAGGATTTTCTTTCACACTCCAAAAAGCAACTAACAACAGAGATTAGCAATGTGTTTCCCAGGTCTTCGGCACAAAGATGATTTTTTAAAATACAGCTGAAGCCAAGTTAAATATTCCTCTAAAATTACAACCCTCAGTTTTTTGTCAAGTACAGTAACAGCTTCCACCACTAGTGAAAGATGCATTATCACCAATTTGTATTGTGGTATCACACCTAGAAGGCCCCAATTAGGGATCAGGACTACATTGTGCTAGGCACTACTGCCACACATAACAAAAAGACTATGAATAATTTGGGACAAGGACAATCTTAAGATTAGTGGCACCAGGTGCTAAAGCAAACAGACAGGGATAGTACAATGTAACATGGTAATCAGTGGTCATATCGTAGCACACCAATTGTCTAACCAGCATTCAGTGTTTCGCAGGCATCCTGACAGTGGCAAGTTAAGGAGAGGTTTGCCAGACATTATGTAGTTAGTGGTTTAGCATATTTTTACAGGAAGCTCCTTGTGTACATATGGAGCAGCATGGGAGGAAGCATGAGGACACTTTGGGGAAAGCTTAAGTAACAGACAGTGAAGGGCGACAGCAGCAGAATGAAGAATGCATCACTCTGACTCTTTACAACCAGCTTCAAATTTGTGCGAGAGATACATGTGTACACATTATACCTCAGTTAGTTTGTAAAGTCCTAAGAACCATCACAGCATAGCAAACTTCACTGAATATGAAAAATGTTTAAAATATCTCAGATGCTCACCTTGCTCCTGAAACTTGTCTTGTGAAAAGCATAGATCCAAGCTGAGTGACAGCCATGTCACTGTGTTTATCTAGGTTCTCTAGTGACATAGCTGAAGACATAAATAGCTGTGTTATAATAAGTGTAATAAAGCTCCTCTTTCATCAGAAAAGAACCATTGATAAGTTTTATCTAACAATGGTAACCTGGTTAAGTATTTGGCTTAGAATATAACTAAGATGAACATTCTTACTATTATTTTTAAGTCTTTTCAGTTTTCCACTAAATATCCTTTCATTATCTTATTAGACTGTTTATACAGTTGAGATACTGTGTGGAGAGAGACATTCCAGTTTTCCAGGTTCAACAGAGTTATTGCTTACAATGAAAATCCCAAGTAAATAAAGGGACTCACTAGTAGTCTATTTTACTGAAATTCGGCGCCAAGCAGTTGTGGTTGAAATAACTATTAAACAGTATAGAAATAAATAAATTGTAGTACTAAATGCTAACATGTCAGTCTTTTTACTCTCATGATCAAACTAAGCATATTTTGATCACAAGCAGTTAGGTATATAAATACAGGGCCTGAGTCACTAACTACACTACTCCACTTTTAGGCTGATGTAATTCCATTGATTTCCATGGGCTCGTATTGGCATAAGATTAATGGAATGGAAGGGTGAACCATATGCAAGCTCATCTTGTGTATGCAAGCGTATTAAAAATACAGAAGATTTCAGAAGTGCTGGCTTAGTTCAAACCTGAACGGGAATTACCTAAGGAAATAGGATTGTGTAGTGTGTTCAACAGCCTCTCATTGTAGACTTCTGCTAGCTTCCTCAGCTGACTTGAAAGGTAGGAAAACATTTCCTGGAAAAAAGCAACAATTTTCAATTTTCTTTCTTTCTTTCTCTTTCTCTGTTGAATAGTTAATATCAATTTTGGAAAGTTGTCAGCCTCCAGAATATATCAAAGTACCTAAGTGGTCCCCATTTCATATGTATTAAGCATCAGCCATTTATTTGAGTCAATAGGTCAGACAGTGCCCTTGAGCTGCGCATGGAAGCCTCTTCTTTTGTAGATATCCCTCCATACAGAGAGGGGGTGCTCAGTTGCCTCCATACCATTATCTTCGCCACCTGACCAGATGAAGCAGCTCCATGTGGGCCAGCACCTGTGCTTACGATTCCTATCAATCCCTCTTTGGCTCCGCAGAATTTATATAGAAAAGGTAATCCATCCATCCATCCTGGGAAGGAGCAGGGTGGCCTTGCTGTGATAGAGGCTGCATCTGCAAACATAGCAGACCACCTGTACTCCCACATCATCTCTGATCTAAATTGTTCACCACAACAGGGCAGCCACTGCCAGGGAACCAGGGAGTTAGAGAAGAGCTGACAAGGCCAAAGCTGGTGCAGGGTTGCAGCCAGTCTGCTGTGCTTTCGGGCAAGAGCTTTACCATAGCTCAACAAACCCTTCCCTCCCAACAAGACACTGTGGGGGAATCGCCACAAGGAAATCTTTGCAGAAATAGTCACACACAAAGCCCTTGTCTATAGTATTTATCAGGACAGGGGACACACTGGTTCAGTGAAAAAGTCGAGATATCATTCTTTGGAGCATATTTTATATTTCTTGGTGAATACTATATTTTACATATATTTAGTGTCCTTCATCCTGAAGGAGCCCAAAACACTTCAAATGTATATAACATAGCGCACCACTGGAGTTGAGTATGGCAACCAACTGGTGCATAACTCTGAACGTCAACAAGACATGTTGAGGAGACTAGAGGGAATTTTTGCCCCACTACACCAGGACAAACCTCTACTCTTACAAAAGTCCCACGGCATCTTTCATATCCAAGTACAGCAGATAGGACTATAGCTGTGACACTCATGACATAAGAAGCTGAACCTTTGGTGAAACATGATGATATCTTTGAGCACAAATTCTATCAATAAATAGCCGCTTCAAAAAAAAAAAAATTAACCCTGCATGATGCCAAAGAAAACAGGAATTAGCATTCCTTTCATCCATCTTTTTTAACTTCCCAGTACAACACTAAAAAAGCACATTTTGTTCCATCACATCAATATCTGAGAAGAAAATATTCTTGTTTTTTACCAGCTGAAACAGTTCTGTGATGAATCAGAATATTTCTACTGTTTAGCATCAACAGATCTGGATACAAATGATGGTTAAATATTAACTGTTAATCAATCAGATCAATTTTTTTGCTTTTTGATTGATTTAAAGCAGGGCTTTGGAACAGAGCCCGGAGCTGGAGCGTGGAGCAGCTCCGGAGCAGTGGAGCTGCAGGTTTTTGCCTGGAGCTGGAGCAGAGCCGGAGCACAGCTCCAAAGCCCTGATTTAAAGGTAAACAGTTGGGGAGGTTTGGACCCACTTGTATAAAGTGAGGAGAACACTGTTCTACCTTCATTGCAGGCCAAGTCATGCCAAACTGCTGCTTGCACTGTTTTAATCTGGAACAGTCTGAGTGTAGAAAAAAAGTGCAGTTTGGCATCTGTCACTAGAGGCCTGCAACTGCCATCAGCTCCTAAAAGGATCCCTCTTTTTCTACACAAGAAGGACAATAGGTCAGCATCTGATCTGCCTTCACATTAAGCAAGAGAGCATTGGTATGAGTATGAATGTATTTTGTGCCATACGCTATATTCTTCTCCACAGTCAACTATGCCATGCAGACAGTTCCCCTCCCTGTCCTCTTTCTGGGAAAAGTAGCTGGTCACCCTGCAGCTGCTGCTCAAGCTTTCTAAACATTATAGATGGGTATCAAAAGTTCAGATGTCATTTCATCAGACAGTTCCTTTATTGAAAAGGATGCCAAAAGCAGAGATGCCTACGTGAATTGCCTACCTATCCTGACTAATGCATATGCGACATCACGATATTAGGAAAAAAAAAAAAGCCCACACATCACAGCTGCTTCAGGTCTTCACCAACCAAACAATTCAGTGTTAGTGATGATCCCCTCACACCTCAGCGCAGAACAGATGGACAACAGTCAGAACAAACACCACTCTTCCTAACACTTCCTATGGCCTCTGAGTTGTCATTTTCAGCACTTCACATTGGTAGACATAGGGAGAGAGAGAAAGGGGGGGGGCACAAAGGCAAAGAGGATTTAAGTTTGGGTAGCCTATTCCTGGTCATTAGATATCAGCTTGTTCTTCCTCCTGACTATAATGATTTTGTTCACCATTCACTTCAGTACAACTGCCTGCTTGCTACTTCTCCCCATCATTCTTTCTCATGGCCATTGCTTCGGCATCCTCATCAATTTTAGGACTTGACAAAGAACCCTCCTTTCTACACACAGCAGCATCAGCATCCTCCATGTGTGGATCATCATCCTACCTTCTGACATGTACCTCTCTGACTGGAACCAGTTAGCTCTGGTGAATTAAAGATACCATTGTAGGTAGCACCTCAGAGATTTTACAGAACCAACTGGGTTGGGGGGCAGTTCTGAGAAATGTGTATACCTCGTTTTCCTGGGCCACTGCGATGAACTGAATTGTAGCCTCCATCTTAGAGAAATCAAGTGAAAATGGCTCCTGAGCTGACCCTCTTAATCACATGGGATGGATTCACTCAAACACAGAGAAATAGTGTCATGCCACCTAACAAAATTAATCAAACTACCTTTAAGTTCACTGACAACAGCATGAAGCTTTTGAGATGTCTAGTTAGAGAAAAAAAACTTGCAAGAGGCTTCTATGGGCAGTGAGGAGGACTACTAGAAACTTGTGGCAAATCATTACTGCTTTGCAGCGGCAATTTGAAACCAAACCCAATACTTCTATGGTTTGAGTACAACAGTTTGCAGTTGGCTTTATTTACAGTATCCTCTTAGAAGCTTAAAAGTAACATTTGTTCCCATATCCAGGCACATTTTTCTTGCTCCTCGTGGAAGACAAACACCATATTCATTTGTTATTCACTTTCTTGTCACAATAAGTTATACTCCTGGGGGAATTCTGTGCCACAGTGTGTGCGCAGAATTCATATTCCCACCGATTTCTTTGACTTCCTGATTGGGAAGCAAAGGGAAGCTGCAAGTGTGGTCACCACCTTCCCCAGCAGAGCAGGCACATTGTTTCAGGCACCCAGAGCAGCTGACAGAGAGGTAAATCACAGAAGGGGGTGGGGATGAAGATGCCCCAGCCAGTGGCTCCTACCCTGTGCCGGGCCCAGCTGCTAGTCCTGGCTGGACTGGGGGAGGACTGGACTTCTTCTTCCCCTGCAAGGAGCAGCTGCGGCCAAGTCAGACCCCAGAAACCTTTCCCGGCTGCAGGAAGCTCTGCCCCCTCCCGCTTCCTGCCCCATCACTCCTCAGCTGCGGAGGGAGGGGTCACTGTGGGGGAGCTGCCTGCCACCCATGCATCTGGACCCCTCCATACCCAGATCCCACATTGAGCCTCAATCCCCCAACACCCAGAACCTCCCCACAGAGCTCCCTGCACCCGAACCCCCCCACTGAGCCTCACCCCCTGCATCGACCTCTTGCTGAACCCCCGCACTCGAATCCCCACCCCAATAAGTCCCACCCCCCTCCGCACGTGGACCGCCCCTCGCTGAGCCCTCCACACTCCAACTCCCATCCCACCAAGCCCCATTCTCTCCCAGCACCCAGACCTCCCTGCTGAGCCCCACACACCTGACACTCCCCTCCCCCCCACCCTCGGCTGAGTGCCATCCCCTCATACCCAGACACACACTCCCAGCTTAGCCCCAACCACCTTCACTGGACCCCTCTGCAGAGTCCCATTAGCCCTGCACCCAGAACCCACAACGAGCCCCTGTGCATCCAGATCCCCCACATACACACTGACTGTCCCACACAGAACCCTCTCACCCCACACCTGGATTCCCCCACACTACGTCGCTCCACACTTGGATCCTGCTGGGTTGAACCTGCTTGTCCCACACCTGGTGCACCTGGCGTAGAGGGGCAGGGCCTGTGGTGTTTCTGGGGCAGGCCTGGTCCTTGCACTGTGTCAGGGTCAGGTGCAGCCTCACTGCCGAGTCTGTGTCCTAGGAGGGGTCCAGGGTGACTCCTACCTCTGTGTAGCCAGTGCCCTGTGCTCCCTACTGCCATGCTGGAGCCTCCACATTTATTGACAAATAAAATTTGCAAAATTTTAGAACACTGTGCATAATTTTTAATTTTTTGGTGCAGAATTCCCTCAGGAGTAAATAAGTATCTCTAATGTGCTCATCTATTATATCAGTATCATTTTTGTAATCTGATTTGTTCATTATTTTGTGCTCCCTCTATTGGCTATTTACTTCTGCAGCAACAGAGGATAACACTGCAAGGGAGTGTATTTACAATGGCTGTTCTCAGAATACATTTATTGAGAATGGTGATGAGAGAAAGTTAGAGATGAGAACAGTAAGATATTCCCCAACAATTTAACACTCTAAGGGTGTCTCATTTGAGGACTTCCCTATAGTGTAGTACATTTGACAATGTCCCTTTAATAAAGTAACTTCCGATTTGTATAATTGAGTTCTTAACTTAGCTACTTATAGCAGTACATTTTCCTCATTTATGATTAGATATCTAAACCACTCAATTAGCCCAGAATTGTTACTTGCATGTGGAGGGACTAGATGAATCAGGGAAGAATGAAGAAGTAGGAGAGGAAACCTAGGTATATGCATTTTCATCAAACTGACTGAAAACCTCTGTATACAAATTTAAATGTTTTCCTGTTTTTGTAAAATAGCATGCTTTGCATTTTAGAATTTTTATTTTCCATTTAACAACATCTAGATCTTCTATAAATAAATAGTTAGCTAAGCAGTTCACTGTACAATAAATTAATGACTTTTCAGAT